CTCGTCCACTTGGTCTGCGCTGTATCCTTGGTATCCAACCACCTCGTCTCGCAGCTGGGCAAGGGCGGCCTGAACCTAACCACGGTTGCAAAACAAGGCAAACAAAGCTGAGTCCAGGGGTTTGAGTATAGGGCGGTGAGCGTGGTGAGTCAGTATGCCCGCTGTCTTCCGAGGTGGCGGCGGCGACGACAGCGCCAGCGTGCGCATCTGACACAGTGACATCGTGAAGCCCGGCGGCGCCTTGAGGGCGGGGCGCGGCCGCCCGCGGCATGCTTTCCCCACAGTCCTGTCCGCCAGGGCGCGACTAACCGACGCACCTGTGCCTCAGTCTCGGAGTCCTGCTTCTCCAACGCCCCCAAACCATCCGCAAGCCGCGCATCCCACTCGCCACACAGCCTCTCGCCCTCCTCGCCCCACGCTGCCGCCGCCGCCGCCGACGTGCCCGGCGGCATCATCCGCGGCGCGGCGGACCGGACGTGCTCAAGCAGCTTCCTCGCAGCTTCCTGCTGGGCCTCCCGCAGCTGCCCAAACAGCCGCAGCGCCGCCTCGGTTTCCGTAAACTCGCAACTGGCCAGGCGCTTTGCAAATGAGTCGATGGCATGCTCGCTGCGCAGGGTGCGCCACTGGGAGAGCCCGGCCTCCCATCGGCGGCGCCGTGCGCGCTCCTGCAGCACCTCAGACGTGTGCAGCCGCTTGAGCGCCTCGCAAGCCCGCTGCCTGCGGTGAACGCAAGTGACAACGCACGCACTCAGGGCCCTGTCACACACTGCGTAACAATGACAGCCATGTGTCGCTGCGGGCTGATACCATGGCAATTTCACACAGCACTGCGCAGTGCGGCTGGTGGCCCGGCTGAAGCCTGGACAGGCCTCGTCACGCCCAGCCATGCGGCAGCGCGTTGCATCGCCACAATCCCACCCTACAGAATTTCCTGCCTCCCTGCGACGCCGTTTTGCAGCCCCCCGTCAGCCCATGGCACACCCCACCTGTCCTCCAGCAGCGCCGCGTTGAGCGCCAGGGCCTCAGCCTCCACCAACCGCTGCGCCTGCCCCTCGTCCACGTGCGACGCCTCCTGCAGCGCCCCCGCCAGCACCCGCAGCGCGGCCTCCCCCTCGCCGCGGCGCTCGGACTCGGCCGCCGCCAGGTCGGACTCGAGCTGCCCCAGCCAGGCCAAGCGCTCGGGGCCGTGAGACGCCACATACTCCCATACCTGGTGAGGGCGGCACATCAGCATTGCCGCCGACGCGTGTGCGCGGGACGCTAGCTGAAGCAGCGGGGCGTGCAGTCTGATCAGCGCGCGGCCGATTGGATGCAGCCGTGGGGCGCTGCCGGTGGGGAGCTGCGGAGTGCCGTCATCGGCCGACGGAGCACGAATCGATGACGCCAAACAGGGGTGCCCCGCGACAAGACACATTGGGCTTGAGGGTTCCGGGTTCAAAAGCACAAGGTCTTTCTTCCTCGCACTCACCTCTTCAATCTGGTCCGAGTCCAGCTGCATCACCCTCGTCTCATGCAACGTGTCCAGCCGCGCCTCAATCTCCGAGTCGCACCCCGCCATCCGCGCCGCGAGCCGTCGCGCAGCCGCCTCGCAGCCCGCCGCTGCGCGGCCGCGGGCGGCCTCCAACGCGGCAGCGTGGGCGCGCAGGGCGGCGGCGTGGCGGGCGGCGCGGTTGAGGAGCATCGATTGGATGCCTGTCATTATTGCCTGCAGGAGGTGTCGTTGATTTGCACATTTGCTCATCTGCCCTTGCCGGTCGAGGCGCGCCGGCGCGCAGTGGCGGTCGTGGCCGCCGCGGCCCCATGCGTCCGCTGCAGCTCCCCCCAGCGCCGCGCAGCAAACAGCTGGCTGCGTGGGCAGCCGCTCGCACCTGCCCGGGGCGGGCGTCTGGCAGCAGCGCGTGCACCACCTCGGCCGGCGCCTGGAACAGGGCAGCGTCGCTCTTTGGGGCGTGCACGGGCCGCGGCGCCGCGCGCTTGGCCGCGAGCATTTTGGCCGCCACTGTCAAAGCAAAGCGCTCCTTCCGCGACACCTGCCCAGCAGGCGCGTCCCAGGGCGGGGGTTGAGAGGCAGGTAGTGAGCTGCGGCAGGGTGCGACGCATCAAGCCGGCAAGCACTGCGGTAGCTGCGGACATGTGGCAACCAGTTGCGGCAGCAGCAGATGCGCAGCGTTTTGCAGCGTGCGCACTTCTGACGCTTGAAGACCCTCCAGGAGCTTTTGTCCCGGAGTTTGGACATCGTTGAAGCTGTCCGCTGCGGCATCTGTCAGCGCTGCGCGAAGTGCCGTGTTCGACTTCGAATCCATCGAGGTGTTGCAAGGTCTATCGAAGCATGTCGAAAGGTCAAGCAGGTCCACACGACTAACGCAACTAGATCGCCATCGGTGTGTGTGGGTGCATGCGGGTCAAAAGAAGTAGGATTATGTTTGACCAAATGCCATGAATGGGCCAATCAAGCACAAGCTTCAAAAACAGACGGGCTGGGAAAGCGTGTCACAACAGCTGTGCGCACGCATGCGGCTGGCCGCCGACGGCCGAACTCGCGCCAAAAGCGACATGACATGTTGACAAAGAAAAAGGCCTGCATGGTGCACAAAAACAATGAGGAGGCCGAGCAGGACAAACCAGCCAAAACGCTGCCGCAACGCCCCACCTCCTGCTCTCCACGCGGCCGCAGCGCCAGGGCTCTCTCACTCGTCCCCCTCCTCGCCCCCCGCATCCTCCGCCTCCTCAGCTTCCTCCTCGTCCCCCTCCTCCACGTACTCCTCCTCTGCGGCCTCCTCCTCATCATCCTCGCCATCATCGCTGCAGAACATCTGGGGTTGATTCAACAGCGGGCAGCAAATGGCTTTGCGCAACCAACCAGCAACGTCAGGCCGCATCACAGCCGCATCACAGCTCCAGAGCCAGGTGCACGATGCAAGGACGTTCAGTGTGTGGGGCTTACCAGCGCCCCAGCCAAAGCGAATGCAAAGCGGCCAGGGGTAGATTTCTGTATGTGTGTATGTTTTTGTTTGTTGCGCACCTGGGAGCTGACAACAGTGCCCCCCAAGTCCCTGTTCTTCAGGTTGCCAATCTGGAAGCCTCCCGCCAGACCCAGCTCATGATACAGTGCCCTCATCTGCGGTGTGTGTGTGTGTGTGTGTGTGTGTGTGTGTGTGCACACGCACGCGCGCGCGCGTGCACACACACAAGCATCCACTGCGTGCGCATCTCCACCCATACCGTTTCGTGCACGCACAAACGTGCATGCCAAAATCTGGTTGCAACGCCTACACGTGTGTGCAGAGCTGCTGCCCTGCAAACCGTCAACCGCGCACCCCAAAACCAAACAGGCCAGCTCCACGCCGCCCGAATCTTCCATGCACTGATCTGCATCTGGCCGACTTGACCACGCAGGCCGGCTTGGCGCACCCGGCCAAGCAGGCGGGCCGAACCCCTTACCCCGCAGCCCCCCACCGCGCAGCGCACCTCGTAGAGCCAGCGCTCCATCGACTTCTTCACGGCCGGCGCCCTGGACAGCAGCTGCGCGGAGCGCTTCGCCTTGGCCTCATTGCAGATGTTCTGCGGCGGGTGGTGGGCGGATGCGATAGGGGCAATGCAGGTTGATTGAGACTCAAGGAGTGCTGCCGAGGGGCTCGACCGTGTCGCAGACGCGGGCTGCGGCGGCGACGCGGCTGCCGACGCCGCTCGTGGACGCCAAATCTGCCACCAACGGCAGCCGAGCCGATGACAAAGCGCCCCCTGCTGAGCGGGAGCGGTGAGCGCAGGATCGAGGCAAACCTCCCGCCCCCCCTGGCACCTGCAGCAGCTTGGTGCCGCGCTGGGCGTCCTTGATGAGGCTCTCAAAGGCGCCCTGCCCGCCGTTGGCGTGGGCCGCGTGCCAGAAGGGCAGCGCGCGGATGAGCTGGTCCACGAAGCGGCCGCCCTGCTTGATGGCCTGCGGGGCGGCGGAGGTGCAGGAGCCATCAACGACAAGCCGTGAACGGTCAATCCCACACACTACCCATAACATTTTGATGCATACGGTAGTGCATGCAACTCAAACAACCACTTGGTCAGCATTTGAGGCAATAGCGCTGCCGGGGGTCGCCTCCTGACCAGTCGGTGCCGTCCCCCTGCTGGCCAGCTGTCATTCAATTAAAAAGGTCCTGAAAAGGTAGAGGTGCATGCAGGGCGTGGCGATGCTGGTTCTGGCGCACCTGTCCCAGCAGGCCGGTCCTGTTCTGGTGGGTCTTGGAGAGCTCCACCAGTGCAGAGAAGCACTGGGCGGCACGCTGATACCGCGACATCACCGCGTCGACCTGCAAGTGTGTGTTTGTAACAGAGAGAGAGAGAGCGTGTGTGTGTTTGTGCGTGTGAGTGTGTGTGTGTGTGCGCGCGCGCGCGCGCGCGCGTGTGTGTGTGTGTGTGTGTGTGTGTGTGTGTGTGTGTGTGCGTGCGCGCGCGCGCATGTGTGTGTGTGTGTGTGCGCGCGCGCGTGTGTGTCGATGAACGTGGAGGTGTTGGAAATGGACGGTCTCTGCGCAACAACCCTGGCCTTACCGGCAAGACCTGGTGGCCTTGTCCATCAACGTTGCGGCGTCGACAATATAGTCACCAGCCACAACTGCCTCCCACCTCTTCGTGCTTGCACTCCGCCAGGCGCGTGGCCGCCGCCGCAGCCGCCGACGGCTTTTTGCCGGCCCCCTTGCCCCTGCCGCTCGCCCCGCCCGCTGCGGCTGCGGCAGGGCCGCCGTCGGCCCCGCCCTCGCCGCCCTGTGGCGAAACGAACGCCAGCGCTTGGGCCGACAGGTGCTCTGCGAGGGCCACCAGCTGCTCAAACACCACCCTGTGATGAAGCAATTATAACAGTATAAATTATTTGTTGTATCAGAATGAATTGTTGTGCACGTTTGTGGTACCACCACCGTAAGGGTCCCCCTCTCAAGGCGTGTGATAATGTGCCAGTCCAAACCCCTACTGCACAGATTGGCGATCCGGCAAAGCGGGGGCTCGCGCTGCGGATCCCCTGAGAGCAAGCGTGGGTGAGACGGGCGAAGCACCCCACCTGTACCAAGTAGGGAACGTGGCCACGCAGAGCGCGGCGTACCCTTCGATGGGCGCGAGCTGCTCCTTGGCCGCCACCTGCACAGGAGCCCGGCCAGGGCCGAGCGCCGAGTCAGAGACAAGGCGCATGGGTGAGGCAAAGGTTCAGCGCAGCCGCGCGCAGCTTATCACGTGCAGCTCTGCCTCTGCTCCGTCCAGCGCCGTCGGAGCACGCCGTTGCAACGTGCTGGCGAGACGCTGGCCGGGGCGGCGCCCCTGCCGCGCCTCTCACCTTGCCGCCAGGCACCTTCTTCAAGAGCCCCGCCAGCTGCTGCAGCGTGGCGCTTGGATCGGGCGCGTGGCCGGCCCACAACGCCAGCAGCCGAGATATGGCGGCATTCTGGCCCTTCCAGCTGAACCCTGCGGCGATTGAATTGTTGTGCAAAGGTGGTCAACACACGCGCCTGCTGTGCCTGTGGAGGGCAAGCATACTAGCAGGTTAGTGTTCTGCACTTGCTCGACCAAGGCGAGCAGCTGCCGTAGAAAGCCACGTGCTGCTTGAGCAGAAAGCGGCAGCAATTGCAGCCGTGGTGCGCCTGCCAGCGCCCGTGCCGTGTACGTGTTTGTGCACGAGTGCATGTGCACGGGTGCGTGCTTGCTCGCAGATGTGCAAGTGCGTGCATGCGTGCTCACGAATAGCGCGTGTGAGAGTGGGGTGCTAGAGGGGGCAGCGCCTTAGTTCTGTCACGGTTGGGGGACGCGGACGGGCAGCGAGACAGCACCCACCCTTGCCCTCCTCCTCCGCCTCGTCTGCGCCCGCGGCCCACGTCTCCTGGAGCAGCGCCTCCGCGGCCCGCGACAGCTTCTTCCGCAGCTTCGAGGCCGGCGGCGCGCCCGCTGACACAATGATGGCGGCCTGCGGGGCCAGGTCCAAACAAATCGCCATGTGAGGCCGGGGGCATGCGAAGTCGCGCTGCCGGACTGAGAGCCTCGTGCAGCATCAACACGCTCCGCTCTGCAACATTCCGTCCTCACATATCAGAGGCCGTGCGCCCTAGGCCGCGGGTTCCGACGCGTCCCACAGCGCCAACAGGCAGGCAATGACTGCGCTTTGGGATCCTTCCGCCAACGAACACCATGGAACCCATACACACCCATGACCCCGCCCCTGGGCGGCCTTGAAGGTCGCGCACCTGCAACTCCAGCAGCGCCATCTCCAGCTCCAGGTCAGACAGCCCCGAGGGGAGGCACGACAGCCGCGCCGCCGCATCGAACGCCGCGGCGGCCAGGCGCGCCTGCCCAGGGCGGCGGTGGGCAGAGGTCTTGGGTAAGGGTCCAGGCTTGATGCAGCAGGCTGGCATGGTGTGGTTCAAGAATCTGGAGGCAAAAATGAGCAGGATACCTGTGTGCCTGCTCAAAGTGTTTGGTGGGAAATGCCACAGCCTGATGGCTCACCGGCGGCACGCCTTCGCTGCTGCTCGCCGCCGCGCCAGCAGCTGGCGCTAGAGCGCTCAGCGCCGCCGCCGCCGTCCCCCCCAGCTGCTGCTGCTGCTGCTGCTCCTGGCCCGGCTGCGCCAGCGGCTGCCCGCTAGTGCTGGGCATGCCAGCGGCTGGGCCAACCAGTGTAGTCAGCACGCGCATGCAGGACAGCGCGAGCTCGTGCGCTGTCGTGCCCACGTCCAGCGGCCGGCTGGTGCAGTCCAATGCGGACAGCGCGCGGCTGGCGGCGTCGTCGAATCCAGGCAGGCCTGCGGATGAGAGGCCACCGTGCCGGGGGGCGTGCAAGAAGGTGATAATGTATACGCAAGCTCAGGGAGATCTCTGCAGTTGCAGGCTTCATGATTTTGCAGGACAGGGGGGAACAAGAGAGGGCGTTCGTCACCCAGCGGGCGGTCGAGGCGGCCGCCTGCCAGCCCTGCCAGCGCACCGGCTGTCAGCAGCTCTGCGCCAGGCCCCTCGGGCGGCTCCCTGATGGTCGCCACCGCCAGCGACAGGTGCTGCTGCAGCGCTGGCAGAAGCGGCTCCAGCTGACGCGCCAATTCGGCGGGCCCGACGCTCTCCAGGCCTGGGCGGGTCGTCGAGGGGCGCGCGTCCAGTGTGTGTGTGTGTATGTGTGTGTATGTGTGTGTGTGTGTGCGTGTGTGTGTGTACGTGTGTGTACGTGTGTGTGTGTACGTGTGTGTACGTGTGTGTGTGTGTGTATGTGTGTGTGTGTGTTTCCACGCCAAATGCACCCATCCATCCCAGCCGGTCCCCAGCGTATGAGTGCACATTACAAGAGCCGCCCCGCAACGCCGAGAAAGCGGCAAGGCGCCCCCACGGCGAAACAGCGAGCGCGGGATCACATGGCGGGAGCTGCGCCGCAGCGGCCGCCGCAAAGGTTGGGCGCCTGGCCCTGCCAAGGACGGCCTTCAGCTTTGCTTGCAGGTCGGCCACCAGGTGCGCGGCCGGCAGCAGCACGCTCAGCTGGGCCTGAGGGTGGGGAAAAATCAGGGTCCAGGCATGCGTTCAGTTGTGCTGCGCAAGGGATGGTGCCGCATTGGGCGTTGCTGGGTGCAGGCGATTGCGTCAGCCCGTCTTGCGGTCAATGGAATTGCAGAAAGGCAGTGCTGTGTGCATGCGACGGTGGGTGGCGGCTGAAGCGTGGGCCAAGGTTGGAAGTCAAGGCACACCTGGATGGAGGGAGCGGCGTGCAGCGCCTGCAGGGACGGGAGCTCGAGGCACCTCAGCTTCCGCATGACGTCATCGGGCCTTTCGGGGCAAGAGTGGGGTGGGTTGCAGGCAAGCGTCAGTGGGCCCCGCCTGGAGGTCTGCGAGAACGACGTCTACATAAGCCATTCTCTGGTCTGTCAGGAGTCAGGAACTGCATGGCGCACAGACACTCATGAAGCATGCGCCGCCAGCGCTGCCAGCACTACCCACACTGCATGCTCACTTTGGACCGGCCAGGCCCTTGCCCTGGCCATCCTTCGAGCCGCCCGCGCTCGTCCCCGCGCCGCCTGCCGCGCCCGCCCCGCGCAGCGCCGCGGCCGACAGGGGGTGCGCGAGGTCGGGCAGCTGCTCGGAAGCCGTCCCCGTGGCCGCCAGGTGCTGCAGCAGCTCCTCCAGCTGCCTCAGCTGGACGAGGCGCGCCAGCACCTTGGTCTGGTGCTCGGCAAGGGATTGCATCCTGAGGATTGAATGGGATCGCCGCCAGCGTCAGCGTCAAAGGCACAAGATTGAGCACACGGTACCACAGAACCGTTCACCCAGACAGATTCTTTCGGTTACCTTGAGCCATAGAGGCGTTCCGCCAGTGCGGTGGGAAGTTTGGCAGCCAGGGCAGGCGCAGCCTAGGTACGACTGCGGGCGCTCCGGTGCAGGTGCGCTGGGCGGATGGTGCGCCGCACCTCGCATCGTCCTGGGCGGCTTGGGTGGCCATGGCGACATCGTAGGCCCCAATCTGCGGGGAGATCAAGAGGTGCTTGGCGGTCAGCATGCCCGCGGCTTTGCTGCAGCTGCTGCGTCTTTGTTCCATTGGAAGTTTTCTGATCCGCCTGCTGATGCAGGGGCTTTCAAGTCGAGCGCGACGCTACCGTTTGGTGCCGTCTGGCGCAGGCCATGCGCGAGGCGCGCCCACCTGCGGCGCGAAGCAGTTGACCGTCTCCCGCACCCACGCCACCGCGTGAAACAGCGCGCCCAGTGCGGCCAGCCGGCTGGCACCGGGCAGCGATGCCCACGCGCCGCTGTCAGCGGCGAGGGCCGGGTCGAAAAGCACGATGGGGCAGCCCAGGAGGGCGTCGATGCTGGCCAGGCTTCCTTCCACCT